ACGCTGCCAGCCTTGTCGCTGAGTCTGAGTCTGAGTCTGCCTGTCCTCCGTCCGTCGGGGGTGAGTGTGCTCTTGGCACGGACGTCCTTGAGGACAGACAGGAGGAGTTCCAGTGCTTTGCTGCTGCTTTGCCCCATCTCGTGTCCATGCTTGTTGCCCCTGAGGGAGACCCGGATGCACCAGACATCCCGACCCCGCGCTCTTACGCTGAGGCGATGGCGGGTCCCTACTCCTCTCAGTGGCAGACAGCCATGGACGCAGAGATGGCTTCCTGGAAGTCCACAGGCACCTACGTCGACGACGTTCCCCCTCCTGGGGCGAACATCGTCAGTGGCATGTGGATTTTCAGGGTGAAGCGGCCGCCGGGTTCTCCTCCTGTCTTCAAGGCACGCTACGTGGCTCGAGGCTTCAGTCAGCGAGAGGGAGTCGACTTCTTCCAGACCTTCTCCCCCACCCCGAAGATGACCACTCTTCGGGTGCTGCTGCACATAGCCGCTCACCGCGACTACGAGCTTCACTCACTTGACTTCAGCACTGCTTTCTTGCAGGGCAGCCTGCACGAGGAGATCTGGTTGCGCCGCCCTCCTGGTTTCACTGGGTCGGTTCCTCCTGGCACCCAGTGGAGGCTTCAGCGGCCGGTCTACGGTCTCCGCCAGGCGCCACGTGAGTGGCACGACACACTGAGGACGACGCTTGCGGCTCTTGGGTTCGCTCCCTCTACTGCTGACCCGTCGCTGTTTCTACGCACCGACACCTCGCTGCCGCCGTTCTACATCCTCGTGTACGTTGACGACTTGGTCTTTGCCACAGCTGACACAGCGGCACTCGCCCACGTGAAGTCGGAGCTGCAGAGGAGACACACGTGCACAGACCTGGGTGAGCTGACAAGCTATCTTGGCTTGCGGATCACCCGGGACAGAGCACGGCGCACCATCACCTTGACTCAGTCACACATGGTGCAGCAGGTTCTCCAGCGCTTCCGCTTCACGTACTCCTCGCCTCAGTCCACTCCTCTGCCTACCGGTCACTCGCTCTCAGCTCTGCCTTCGGATGAGTCCGTAGAGTCGAGTGGCCCGTATCCAGAGCTTGTGGGCTGCCTCATGTACCTGATGACCTGCACTCGACCTGACCTTGCATACCCCCTTAGCATCTTAGCACGCTATGTCGCTCCTGGCCGTCACAGGAAGGAGCACATGGATGCTGCTAAGAGGGTGTTGCGCTACTTGTGCAGTACGTCGGGCATGGGGCTTGTGCTTGGAGGGCGGGACCGGGTTGTTCTCACAGGGCACTCAGATGCTTCTTGGGCAGACGACCAGGCTACTCAGCGGTCGTCACAGGGTTACACCTTCAGCCTTGGCTCTGGCTCAGTTTCTTGGCGTTCTACTCGTTCGTCTTCTGTTCTCAGCTCCAGTTGTGAGGCTGAGATCTACGCCACAGCCATGGCTGCTCAGGAGCTGCGCTGGCTGACCTACCTGCTGACCGACCTCGGAGAGCGGCCTCGTTCTCCTCCAGTGCTGTACGTCGACAACAAGGCTGCCATTGCCTTGTGTGAGGAGCACAGACTGGAGCACAGAACGAAGCACATTGCTCTGCGGTACTTCCTTGCTCGAGAGCTGCAGCAGCGCGGTCAGCTTCGTCTGCGTTACGTGGCCACTGAGGCCAACACTGCTGATGTGTTCACCAAGGCACTCCAGCCTTGTGACCATCAGCGCTTCTGTACTCTGTTAGGTCTTGTGCCTACTGGCCCTCACTTGCTCACTTCTTGACTTTGCCTGTACTGTGATCACTATATATTTATATACCTGCATGTTTACTCTTGCTAGGTTGTGATCATTGTACGTCTTGCTCTATTATAAACCTGCATGTGAACTGGTCTTGTGACCGCTTGTTTGTGCTCGGAATTTGTGTGGAATCCTCGAGATCCACCCTGAGCTTGTTTGCCTTACTTTGCCTTGACTGGTCTTGTGACCCCTAGGTCTCCCCCACTTTGCCTATGGGGGTGTGTCAAACATTATATATGTTTGGTTTGTTAGGCTACAGTGGGTTAGCCTGTATGGGGTACACAATTCTAGGGTTAGCTATTTGTACTGATTTCTCTGTTAGTTCAATCATTCCAGTCTTGTAATCTTGACATCACTGACTTTACTGCTACGCGTCGCCTTGACTACGCCACTCGTGTTGTGGCCGCTCCTCCTGTCCGTCCTCTGTCCGCCGGGGGTGAGTCTGCCCTTGGCTGTGACGTCCTAGAGGACAGACAGTTTGAGCTAGAGTTCCTGGCAGCTGCTTCGCCTCATCTCTGTGCCATGCTGCTCACTCCTGAGGGAGACCCCGACGCTCCTGACATACCTACTCCTCGCACTTACGCTGAGGCAGTGTCAGGGCCTTGGGCCTCTCAGTGGAGAGCTGCCATGGACGCAGAGATGGCCTCCTACAGGTCCACAGGCACTTACGTTGACGAGGTTCCCCCACCAGGGGCGAACATCGTTGACGGCATGTGGATCTTCAAGGTGAAGCGGCCGCCGGGATCTCCCCCAGTCTTCAAGGCACGCTACGTGGCTAGAGGGTTCAGTCAGCGTGAGGGAGTTGACTTCTTTCAGACCTTCGCGCCCACCCCGAAGATGACCACTCTTCGGGTGTTACTGCACGTAGCAGCGCAGAGAGACTACGAGCTACACTCTCTTGACTTCTCCACTGCCTTCCTCCAGGGCCGCCTACACGAGGAGATCTGGCTGCGTCGTCCTCCGGGCTTCACTGGCACCTTCCCGCCTGGGACCCAGTGGAGCCTCAGACGACCGGTCTACGGTCTCCGCCAGGCACCCCGTGAGTGGCACGACACTCTCCGCTCTACTCTGTCCGACCTCGGGTTTGAGCCGTCTTCCGCCGACCCGTCGCTGTTTGTTCGTCGTGGGCGCACACCTTTCTTCGTTCTGGTCTACGTTGACGACTTGGTTTTTGCCACAGCCGACACAGCTGCACTGGCGGAGGTGAAGTCCGAACTGCAGAAGAGACACACGTGCACTGACCTTGGAGAACTGCGCCGCTACCTTGGCCTGCAGATCTCCAGGGACAGAGCCGCTCGCACCATCACTCTGACTCAGTCACACATGGTGCAGCAGGTCCTTCAGCGGTTCGGGCTTCAGCACTCCTCTCCTACACCCACTCCTCTTGCTGTAGACCACAGACTCACTGGGCCTTTTCCTGACGAGCCGTTCGAGCCCAGTGGTCCCTACGCAGAGTTGGTGGGCTGCCTCATGTACCTGATGACGTGCACTCGCCCGGACCTCGCCTTCCCTCTTAGCATCCTGTCTCGCTTTGTTGCGACTGGGAGACACCGTCCTGTTCACTGGGCGGCGGCTAAGAGGGTGGCGAAGTACCTTGGCGCGACATCAGGCATGGGGCTTGTACTTGGAGGGACACAGCCAGTTGTACTCACCGGTCACTGCGACTCCTCCTACGCCGACGACGTTGAGACTCAGAGGTCTACGCAGGGTTACTGTTTCAGCCTGGGTTCTGGAGCTGTTTCGTGGAGGTCTACTCGGTCCTCCTCGGTTGCGACTTCTACCGCAGAGGCCGAGATCTACGCTGGGGCCCTTGCTGCTCAGGAGCTACGCTGGTTGACCTTTTTGCTCACTGACCTTGGTGAGCGGCCGAGCTCTGCACCGACCCTGTTTGCTGACAACAGGGCGATGATTCTCCTGTGTCGTGAGCCTCGACTGGAGAGCAGAGTGAAGCACATCGACGTCAGGTACTTCCTCCTTCGAGAGTTGCAGAGACGCGGGCAGGCTCGTCTGGACTTCGTGGCCTCCGAGGCCAACACTGCAGACATCTTCACCAAGGCTCTTCAGCCTTGTGACCACCGCCGGTTCTGTCTGCAGTTGGGCCTCGTTGAGACTGGGTCGAGTAGACTGCAGTAGTGAGTGCTTGTCTCTTGTCTTTGCTTGTACAGTATATATCTGCATATACACTCTTGAACTGGCCTTGTGGCCGCTGTTTGCGCTCAGACTGTGTGGTGACGTTGTGATCCACCCTGAGCTTTGTTTTGTCTTTTGTTTGTGACTGGTCTTGTGACCTTAGGTTGCGTTTCTTGTTGCTTGGCATTCCCCACTTAGGCTATGGGGGTGTGTCAAATGTTATACCCTGTTGTGGGTCATGCTATATGGGGTACAAGCAGTTAGGGTTAGGCATGTGTACCCCAACCCTATCAATCCTACTCATTCCGCTGTAGCTACTTTCTGAGACCCGGGCATTATAATTTTTTTTCCTTTGTGAAGACCCCCCCCAACTTTTTCTAGGGATTTAGGATAAGGTATACGGTATAAGGTGATACATTCCCCTCAAGGCTAATCTGGATCGGGAAACCAACCGTGCGCTTCGGTAACTGTCCGTGCCACGGTAACTGTTTGAATTATTACTGCTTGCAATCGTCTTCGATAATTTTTTGAGTCGCTCGGTATTCGTCCTCGCTGCAGTCATCTTCGCGTTAGGAATGTCTTTCAACAATTCCATATCGTAACAACAGCTTCAAATCAAAATCAGCGTAATCGCTGATGACTAATTAGTATCTTTTACGCTGATAAATGAGGTTCTGGCTGGTGCGCTTGTTTCGCTGGCATGGCACACTGCTAGCGGGCCGGCATGCTCGCTGGCTCAGTGCCTGGCTGGCTGGCTCGATGCCTGGCTGGCTGGATAGTTGTGCGATGCTAGTGTAGGAGGTACGGTAGTTGGCCTAGGAACTAACCAATGATACCAGCACAAGCACAATGATTTGAACTAGAAGGGCGGTGTTACAAATAGGAAGCCCTAAGAGTTGTACTTTTTGAGGTGCACAAGATATCGCCCGATTGCAATATGTGTTGTCGGTATCACTTACTCTGATTGGTTGTATGTGCAGCACGCACTCACCAGCTCCATGTGGAGCCGCTCAGTAAGAACAGTGGAAATGAATCCATTCCAATGTGATGTGCATTGGAGAAGATGCCATGCACTTCCGCACACCCACACTACTTCTTCAGGCGCCGCATAAAGCGCTCCCATTGGTCGTGGTCTAGGTGGCTCCAGTCATCGAGGTCAGCGATGGCGAGCAGGTACTCGGTGAGGTGAGCGAGCTCGCGGTCGGAGTGGCGGTTGGCGTGGGCGCGGCGGAAAGGGCGGATGGTGAGCCCGTTGCGCGGATTCATGACGAAGTTGCGGCGCAGATCGTCAAACATGATTGTGTTGGCTGCGCTGTAGTGCTGCCCGCCACAAACCGGCCGGTGAGGGAGGGGTGCGGCACAGACGAGTGCGGGGCGTCACAGAGGAAGGAGCGTGGAATGCGGTGAGTGGAATGAGGTGAGTGTGGAATGCGGTGAGTGTGGAACGAGGTGAGTGTGGAACGAGGTGAGTATGGAACGAGGTGAGTGTGGAACGAGGTGAGTATGGAACGAGGTGAGTGTGGAACGAGGTGAGTGCGGAACGAGGTGAGTATGGAACGAGGTGAGTGTGGAACGAGGTGAGTGTGGAACGAGGTGAGTGTGGAATGAGGTGAGTGTGGAATGAGGTGAGTATGGAACGAGGTGAGTGTGGAACGAGGTGAGTGTGGAACGAGGTGAGTGTGGACGAGGTGAGTGTGGAACGAGGTGAGTGTGGAACGAGGTGAGTGTAGAACGAGGTGAGTGTGGAACGAGGTGAGTGTGGAACGAGGTGAGTGTGGAACGAGGTGAGTGTGGAACGAGGTGAGTGTGGAACGAGGTGAGTGCGGAACGAGGTGAGTGTGGAACGAGGTGAGTGTGGAACGAGGTGAGTGTGGAACGAGGTGAGTGTGGAACGAGGTGAGTGTAGAACGAGGTGAGTGTGGAACGAGGTGAGTGTGGAATGAGGTGAGTGTGGAATGGGGTGAGTGTGGAATGGGGTGAGTGTGGAATGGGGTGAGTGTGGAATGGGGTGAGTGTGGAATGGGGTGAGTGTGGAATGGGGTGAGTGTGGAATGAGGTGAGTGTGGAAGGGGTGAGTGTGGAATGGGGTGAGTGTGGAATGAGGTGAGTGTGGAATGGGGTGAGTGTGGAATGGGGTGAGTGTGGAATGGGGTGAGTGTGGAAGGGGTGAGTGTGGAATGGGGTGAGTGTGGAATGAGGTGAGTGTGGAATGGGGTGAGTGTGGAATGGGGTGAGTGTGGAATGGGGTGAGTGTGGAATGGGGTGAGTGTGGATGTAGAGCAAAGGATGGTTGAAGACTTCGGAATGGCTCCATATGGTTACAAGTGTATGTGGCAGCGTATGGGAGCAGGCAAAGAAGATGAAGGCACAGAGCAGGCAAGAAAAGCAGACCACAGAGAGCAGGATATTTGGCAAGGCGAGCGTGGAACAAGGGAGAAGCAGGGGTACCTCGGGGAACTTGTCCCAGAGGATTTGAAGGGGCTTGCAGTCGAAGACGCCGCGGTGGGGCGAGTGCACGGTGATCATGGCCATGTGGTCCACCAGCGCCACCACTCGGTAGTCGCTGTGCCCCAACACGCCCAGCTCCCGCATCTTCACCTCCACCCACCTCATGCTGCGCGCACCAGACAATGCAAGATGGGATGGGGACATGGTTGCGGGCGGGCAGCAATGAGTTGACTCAGGACGACGAGTGAAAATGGAATTTACACAGAACCATCACCTTACGAAACTAGTAACACCCAATCATGATCACCTGGTGGCATGGCGTCATCACCTGGTGGCATGACGCAGGGTTCAAAAAAACGACCGTTTTTTTTGAAAATTTACCGTAAAAAACGGTATCGTAAAAAACGATCGTAAAAAACGGTTTAAAACGGTTCCAGGAGGTGTTTCCTGTTTAACTAACTAAACGGACACCTAGTGGGACCAAATTGAACCCGAAAAGGAGCAGCATGAAGGGGACGGACCCCTTCTTGCATGTATGCACTTGTTGGCATGATTGAAAATGTTTTTGACCTTGTTTTTCTCTTTTCTTCCTTGGTGAACAGAGTTCTCTAACAAAAAAACGGCCGTATTTTTTAAAAATCACCGTAAAAAACGGACCGTATTTTACGAAAACCGTAATTTTGAACCTTGGCATGACGTCATCACCTGATGGCATAGCGTCATCACCTGGTGGGATGACGTCATCACCTGGTGGCATGGCGTCATCACCTGGTGGCTGGCATGGCGTCATCACCTGGTGGCATGATGTCATCACCTGGTGGCATGACGTCATCACCTGGTGGCATGGCGCCATCACCTGGTGGCATGACGTCATCACCTGGTGGCATGACGTCATCACCTGATGGCATAGCGTCATCACCTGGTGGGATGACGTCATCACCTGGTGGCATGGCGTCATCACCTGGTGGCTGGCATGGCGTCATCACCTGGTGGCATGATGTCATCACCTGGTGGCATGACGTCATCACCTGGTGGCATGGCGCCATCACCTGGTGGCGGACCAAATGATGATGTCATACGCGGAGTAGCTGGCTGCGAGGAACTCGTGCAGGTCTGCATGGCGGGATGGCGGGGCAGGGGGCGGCGGGATGTAGGGGGGAGGAGGGAGTGAGAGCGAGTAAAGGGAAAAGGCAGGTGGTGAAGAGCGGGAGAGTAAGCCAAGTGGGTGAGATGCAGTTAGTGTGTATTAGCAATGCACCTAGTGCAGCTCGCTCTTCCCTCACCAAAACGGCTCCCTCATTCACTCCCTGCGCCCTCTCCACTTTCTCCGGCCTGCCCGCCCCTCTGCACCCATTTCACTGCACTCGCCCCATACACCACTCGGCCCATACACCACTCGCCCCATACACCACTCGCCCCATACACCACTCGCCCCATACACCACTCGCCCCATACACCACTCGGCCCATACCCACCATTCGCCCCATACACCAGTCCACACCCCTGCTCGCCCACAACGCATGCCCTCCCCACTGCTGCACATCTCATCAACTCCCTCACAATCTCATCACCTCTCTCACAATCTCATCACCTCTCTCACAATCTCATCACCTCTCTCACAATCAGGGTCTCACATCCGCATCGGCTCACTCCACGTGCATGCTGGGTGGCACGTGCATGCTGGGTGGCACATGCATGCTGGGTGGCACATGCATGCTGGGTGGCACATGCATGCTGGGTGGCACTGCACTCGGTGTGCCGCACAATCTACCCACACCAGCAGGCCCTTACCTCTCACACATCGGTGGCGCATGAGCGTCACTCACAGGGGCGCATGAGCATCGCTCACAGGGGCGCATGAGCGTCACTCACAGAGGCGCATGAGCGTCACTCACAGGGGCGCATGAGCGTCACTCACAGGGGCGCATGAGCGTCACTCACAGGGGCGCATGAGCGTCACTCACAGGGGCGCATGAGCGTCACTCACAGGGGCGCATGAGCGTCACTCACAGGGGCGCATGAGCGTCACTCACAGGGGCGCATGAGCGTCACTCACAGGGGCGCATGAGCGTCACTCACAGGGGCGCATGAGCGTCACTCACAGGGGCGCATGAGCGTCACTCACAGGGGCGCATGAGCGTCACTCACAGGGGCGCATGAGCGTCACTCACAGGGGCGCATGAGCGTCACTCACAGGGGCGCATGAGCGTCACTCACAGGGGCGCATGAGCGTCACTCACAGGGGCGCATGAGCGTCACTCACAGGGGCGCATGAGCGTCACTCACAGGGGCGCATGAGCGTCACTCACAGGGGCGCATGAGCGTCACTCACAGGGGCGCATGAGCGTCACTCACAGGGGCGCATGAGCGTCACTCACAGGGGCGCATGAGCGTCACTCACAGGGGCGCATGAGCGTCACTCACAGGGGCGCATGAGCGTCACTCACAGGGGCGCATGAGCGTCACTCACAGGGGCGCATGAGCGTCACTCACAGGGGCGCATGAGCGTCACTCACAGGGGCGCATGAGCGTCACTCACAGGGGCGCATGAGCGTCACTCACAGGGGCGCATGAGCGTCACTCACAGGGGCGCATGAGCGTCACTCACAGGGGCGCATGAGCGTCACTCACAGGGGCGCATGAGCGTCACTCACAGGGGCGCATGAGCGTCACTCACAGGGGCGCATGAGCGTCACTCACAGGGGCGCATGAGCGTCACTCACAGGGGCGCATGAGCGTCACTCACAGGGGCGCATGAGCGTCACTCACAGGGGCGCATGAGCGTCACTCACAGGGGCGCATGAGCGTCACTCACAGGGGCGCATGAGCGTCACTCACAGGGGCGCATGAGCGTCACTCACAGGGGCGCATGAGCGTCACTCACAGGGGCGCATGAGCGTCACTCACAGGGGCGCATGAGCGTCACTCACAGGGGCGCATGAGCATCACTCACAGGGGCGCATGAGCGTCACTCACAGGGGCGCATGAGCTGGGTGGCGCTCTCAGCAGTGGAGACGTGGTCGAAGAGCGTGTAGTCGATGTCCAGCACCAGCAGCCGCTTGCCCGCCCGCGGGGGGTTCAGCACCTTCAGCTGCCTCGGGGGTGTGAGGGAGAGAGGGAGGAGGGGAAGAGGGGGGAATGAAGGGTGTGAAGAGGGGTGTAAGAGGTGAAGGGGGAGTAGGGCGCGGACCAGTGACGCAGTGAGAACCGGCGTAGGGAGCTGCGTCTGAGCCGCGTTGGGGTGTAAGTGGAGCACCTCCAAGTCATTGGCGCACCTTGAAGTGCTGCGAGCGGCGTCTGAGCTTGGCGAGGTTCTCCGGGCGGTCCTTGATGGCCACCGCCTCGTCGTCCGGCATTTCTAGGTCGCCCACCACCTCGCCCGCCTCCTCTGGTGCTGGCCCCACCACCACCTCACTCTCCACCGTGCTGCACACGGCGGGCACAGGCATGACGCCACGTGGAACACACAGGACAATAATTAGCATCCATCAAGCACTTAGTGTACAAGTGCTAGTGTATGATTGGTGGAGTTTGAGTTACTTAAGGTGCATGCGGTCACGTAGATTACAATGGCTCACCCCATCACCACGCCTCACCCCATCACCACCTCTCACCCCATCATCACCACGCCTCACCCCATCACCACCTCTCACCCCATCATCACCACGACTCACCCCATCATCACCACGCCTCACCCCATCACCACTCACCCCACCACTCACCCCACCACCCACACCATCACCTCTCACCCCATCATCATGATCTTGAGGGACGGTTTGAGGGCGAGCTGTGAGAGCAGGGTGGAGTCGGGGGCGGGGCGCCCAGCGAGCTTCAGGTTGAGCAGCTTCTGCCGCATGGGCAGCACGCCCGTCGCCTCGCAGATGCGCCGCTTCAGCTCGCCCACCGTGTCGTCCCCGCTCGCCTGCACCGTCAGCTCCCTGCCCGCCCACCGCACACACAAACTCATCTCCTCCTCCTCTGCCGCACCTGCTGCTGCGCTCCCTGTGCTCCCCGGGGGCTCTGGGCCCGACGTAGTGGCCATGGCGCGGAGTGGTGAAGAGCGGTTAGAGGTGGCGTGAGTGCGGTGAGGCTGGACTTGCAGGTGGAGTCGCTTCAGAGAAACGCTGCCAGGTGGGTTAAGCGATGAGGTGCGGATGCGATGTGGGACAGAGGGGGAACCGCAGATAGGGGGGAGAGCAAAGAGCGGAGAGAGTTTTGGGAGGGAAAATTTGGGTTTTCACGAGGCGCGGGGTGAATTGGAGGCATAGGGGCGAGCCACGCGCCTCTGCCGTCTGCTCCAGCCACTCCCTCCTAACGCCGATAACTTTTTTTTTTTTTTTTCCTTTCCCTCCCATCCGCGCGGACCACGACGGCATCACCCACCCACCTGCTCCCCGCCCTTCCCAGGCCGCCAGTAGCCGCGCAGCAGTCGCCCGCATACGCCGCGTAGACACGCTCCGCACCTGAACGCAACCGCGGGCGGTGTGTGGCCCTCGAGTCAACCCCGCAGATGGTGGGCTACTGGCGTCGCCTCGAACCGCGTCCTCACGCCGGTAATATGGCCGAATTCTCTCTCGCGAGTTCTGCTAGCTGTGCCAAGGCAAATAAAAACAGAGATTTGTAGCTGGGAAAAGTGGCTGCTAAGTTCCGGGTTACGCACACCGTGCTCGGCGCGCAATTGCTGACAAATGGCGAGGAGAGTTTGGGCAGAGCCGAGGCGAAATTTTGCGGAATAGGGGGAACTCGAGGTCTGCGTAACTGCTCGTGTATCAGCTCGCTCCGCAATAGCTACATAGACTGTTATGTTAAGGCTCCCTTATTCATATGAACATTAGAACACCCTTTAACTGTGTACTTCATATTCTGAGCATAATTGCGGGCGCATCACATTGTAAAATGAAATATTATTAATGCTGATGCTTCAATGTATCCGACGTAACATCTGATGTGTTCCTTGAAGCGTGGCGCAGAACGCTTTCGCACGTAGCAATCAGGCCCCCATATTCATTTCAAGGGACCCTGAACCATCAAGGCTGCCCCTCCAATATATATTTTTGTATTCTGATTGATCAGGGCTGTTGTAATAAGGTAATCCCGATTTGGTAGTGATACATGTACTACGATCCTATTGTATCCGTGTTTGTTAACCTTCCGGTCAGTCATCCTTAAGGTCGTGGGTTCAATTCCTGATAATATTGTGACTTATGTGACTGTCCCCCAGGCTCAAAGCTGACCCAAGTTGAACAGGTTTTGCACCCCTAGTCCCCGAAAATTTCTATGTAGTGCAGGAAATTTCTGAATGATTTTCGATGGGATCTCTTAGAAACTGGTGGGTGAAAAATGGAGGGTAAGGGGAGAGGGATACAAGAAGCATGTCGAGAGTGAATTGTGTAACTGTCTAACATAGTTTGACACACTCCCATAGGCTAAGTGAGGGGCATCAAAACAAGCAGAGCAAAAAAATGGACACAAGACCAATCAACGGAAGCAACAAGATAAAGCTCAGGGTGGATCACAATGTCACCACACAGTCTTACACAAGCAAGTGGCCACAATGCTAGTTCAAGAGTTCACAAGTATATATAAATACAAGTACACGCAGATCAAGCAACAAGAGGCAAGATCACAGCATCCGAGTGCCTGTCTCAATAAGGCCTAGCTGCAGACAGAACGTGTGGTGGTCACCAGGCGGTAGAGCCTTTGTGAAGATGCCTGCAGTATTGGCCTCTGAAACCACGAAGTCCAAACGTGCCGGGCCGCGTCGCTACAACTCTCGCAAGAAAAAGTACCTCACGTCGATATGCTTCACTCTGCTCTCCAATCGAGGCTCTTAACACAGGATGACCATGGCCTTGTTGTCAACGAACCAGGTCGGTGCAAAGCTCGGCCGCTCACCAAGGTCGGTGAGCAAGAAGGTCAACCAGCGAAGCTCCTGCGCTGCCATGGCAGACGACGACATAGATCTCTGCCTCTATGCTGGACTGCGCCACAGACGACGACCGTGTAAACCTCTACGACACACCTCCAGCGCCCTAGCTGAAGCAGTAACTCTGGGTAGTCCGCTGAGTCTCAACGTCGTCGGTGTAAGAAGAGTCGCAGTGACCGGTCAGCACAACTGGCTATGACCCTCCAAGCACAAGCCCCATGCCCGATGTAGTCGCCAAGTACTTTGCTACCCTCACAGCTGATGTTCAGTGAACAGGACGGTGCGAGACAGGATTCTGATGTCAAACATTATATGTTTATATGATTGTAGGCTGTAGTGGGTTACACCTTAGGGGGTACACTAGATTAGGGTTTCCTACTTGTATCCAACTTTGTGCTAGTACAGTCATTCCTTCGCTAGGACCGTTCTTAGGGCCCACCGCTACCTACCTACCTACCTACCTACCTACCGTGCGCCCTCGTGCGCCTACGCGCCCCAGTGCGCCTCCTACCTACCGCGCGCGCGCAGCCCGCCAGCCAATCGCGCGCGGCTCGTTTTCTATTTTTTTTAACCGCGCGCGACCCGCTAGCTGCCCGCGCGCGGCCGATTTCTTTTGAGCGCGACCGGCTAGCCGCCCGTGCGCCGCTCGCACCGCTATAGCGCAGCCCGCAGCGGCCCCGCAGGCCTGCACATTGCCGCCCGCCCGCTGCAGCGCCCGCCCGCTCGTCGCCCGCTGCAGCTGCCGCCCGCTCGTCGCCCGCTGCAGCTGCCGCCCGCTCGTCGCTCGCTGCAGCTGCCGCCCGCTCGTCGCCCGCTGCTGCTGCCGCCCGCTCGTCGCCCGCTGCAGCTGCCGCCCGCTCGTCGCCCGCTGCTGCTGCCGCCCGCTCGTCGCTCGCTGCAGCTGCCGCCCGCTCGTCGCTCGCTGCTGCTGCCGCCCGCTCGTCGCCCGCTGCAGCGCCTGCCCGCTCGTCGCCCGCTGCAGCTGCCGCCCGCTCGTCGCCCGCTGCTGCTGCCGCCCGCTCGTCGCACGCTGCAGCTGCCGCCCGCTCGTCGCCCGCTGCTGCTGCCGCCCGCTCGTCGCCCGCTGCAGCTGCCGCCTGCTTGTCGCCCGCTGCAGCTGCCGCTACCACGGGCCCGCCGCTGCAGCTACCGCCTGCGCGTCGCCCGCAGCCGCTCCCGCTCGTGCGCCGCGGCCGCTACCGCCCGTGCGCTCCTGTTGCGCCTGCTACCGCTGCCGCTGCTGCACTCGCTCCCACTGCGGCCGCCGCTTCTGCGCCCACTGCCGCTCCCGCCCGTGCGCATCAGCTGCTGCCGCCCGTGTGCTGACACTGCCCACAGCTTCCCTGCGGCCTCATTCTTACTGTTTCTACCGCTACTGCTACTGCCGCTATGGCTACTCCTACTGTACTTACTTTCGATGCTGAGGGCCGTCCAGTGAAGTTCGAAACCTGGCTCGATGACCTCCACCTCTTTCTACAGCTCACTGCTAAGGAGGACGTTTCACTGTACGATCACGCCCTAGGCAACGCTACTGCCCCTCCTACCACTGCTGACAGCACTCAGCGCTCACAGTGGCAGACTCGTGACGCCCACGCTCGCTTCGCTATTCGTAACTCCCTACCGATCGACGAGCGCGAGCACTTTGGCCAGCACAAAACTGCTAAGGACCTGTACACTGCTGTAGTCGCTCGCTACTCCTCCCCCGCTTCTGCCACACTAGGCCGCCTCACTCTCCCCTACCTGTTCCCCGACCTGGCCTCCTTTCAGACAGTTGCTGACCTCATCACCCACCTTAAGACCAGTGAGGCCCGCTTTCGCGCTGCTATGCCTGACGAGTTCCTCACCAGCAACCCCCCCCCGCTCTGGATCACTCTCTACCACATAGTCACCCGCCTCCCCGACTCCCTGCGCACAGTCAGGGACCACTTCCTCTCTCGCTCCCCCACTGAACTCACCATTGCCCTCCTCGAGAAGGAACTGCTTGCAGCTGAGGCGAGCATCGTCGCTGTAGGCACCTCTCGTGGCGACCCCCGCACCCCGTTCTTTGAGGGGTGTTCCCCTTCCCCTCTCCTCCCCTCTGTCGCCTCTGCTGCTGCTGTCGACCTCCTTGGTGCTGAGAAGGTCGGGGCCGCGTCTGCTTCGAGCGGGCGCCGCAAGAGCAAAGGGGGCAAGGGTGGAGGTGGCGGCGGAGGAGGTGGGGGTGGAGGCGGTGGGAGTGGAGGAGCGGCTGGGGAGGCTAGTGGCGGCAGTGGGGGTGGTGACAGCAGCGGCGGGAGTGGCGGCAGGGGTGGAGGCGGCAGCGGAGGCGGAGGTGGTCGTGGCAGCGGCAGGGGTGGAGGTGGCCGAGGCGGTGGCGGCGGCAGTGGTGGTCGTGGAGGCGCTGGCGGTGGCCAGAGTCAGCAGCCCGCCCCGTCGCTTCAGGCCGCCCGTGAGTGGTATGCGCAGCGTGGCTTTACCTGCACGTACGTCATTCGCACTGGTGACCGCACTGGCCAGCAGTGTGGGAGGCCGCATCCCACACAGCGCTGTTTCGCGCGCCTTACTGACGCGTGGCGTGCCCAGTTTCCTGATGCCACTGAGCTGCCCCGCTGGGCTGATCTGGAGAAGAAGGGAGTTGATATCTGGGCTTTAGACTTTGATGCTATTCTCACTGCCATGTATGCGATGTTTACTAGTGGAGAGGGTGCTCAGTACTTGCGTGTTCCGCCCGACCCGGGCATTCAAGCCAGTCCGGCTGCCGCTCTAGGTGCTAGTGAGTCTGCTGCCCCAGGTCCTGGTGAGGCTGCTGCTCTAGGTGCTAGTGAGTCCGTGCCCTCTGGTACTGAGTCGACTGCAGCACTGCACACCTTCACACTGGACTCAGGTGCTTCTCGCTGTTTCTTTCGTGACCGCACTGTCCTTGAGCCGCTTGCTCGGCCAGTTGCTGTCTCCCTCGCTGACCCCTCTGGGGGTCCGGTCGTTGCGACCTCCTCCACTGTCCTTCCTTGTCCTGCGGTCCCGTCAGGCACACTGTCAGGCCTCTACCTCCCCTCGTTCTCTACGAACTTGGTGGCCGGTAGTGCGCTCCAGGACGGGGGTGTTCACCAGTTCACCCCTGCTTACGAGCGCGTGACCCACTGCACGTGTGCTCGGACGGGCCGTCACCTGGCTACCTTCACTCGGCAGCCGGGGTCGGACCTGTACACACTGACCACTGAGTCCCCTCAGGTAGCTGCGTCCGCGTCTGCGTCTGCGTCAGGTCAGCTGTCCGCCCCCTGCTCGTGTCGCTCTCTGGCGCATGAGACTGTCCTCTGGCACCACCGCCTTGGTCACCCGTCTGTGCAGCGCCTTCGGGCCATGCACAAACGGGACCTTGTTGCTGGTCTTCCCAGGGTTCTCCCTCCCCTACCACCCTCGCCTGCTCCTCCCTGTCTTCCCTGTGTCGAGGGGCGGCAGCGCGCCGCACCTCACTCCTCCTCCTTCCCCCCGACGACTGCTCCTTTGCAGACGCTCCACATGGACGTGTGGGGCCCAGCCCGCGTCCGTGGTCAGGGTCAGGAGAGGTACTTCCTGATTGTTGTTGACGACTTCTCGCGCTACACCACGGTCTTCCCCTTGCGCACCAAGGGTGACGTCCCTGATGTCTTGATCCCTTGGATCCGCAGATCTCGTCTCCAGCTCAGTGAGCGTTTCCGCTCCGACTTCCCTGTCCTGCGTCTGCACTCTGACAGAGGTGGGGAGTTTTCCTCTGGCCTCTTGGAGACCTTCTGTCAGCAGGAGGGCATTGAGCAGTCGTTCATGCTTCCGGCCTCTCCACAGCAGAATGGGGTTGCTGAGCGCCGCATTGGCTTGGTCATGGAGGTCGCTCGTACCTCCTTGGTTCATGCGGCTGCCCCCCACTTTCTGTGGCCGTTTGCAGTCCGATACGCTGCGCATCAGCTCAACCTCTGGCCCCGTGTCTCCTTACCGGAGACTTCTCCGACACTGCATTGGACGGGAGAGGCTGGCGATGCGTCGCGTTTTCGGGTCTGGGGATCTCGAGCTTTTGTTCGCGATACGTCCGCGGACAAGCTCTCCCGTCGAGCTGTCCCCTGTGTCTTCCTTGGCTTTGTCCCGGACGCGCCTGGTTGGCAGTTCTACCACGCCACCTCGCGTCGTGTCCTGGCCTCTCAGGACGTCACTTTTGACGAGTCCGTCCCCTACTACCGCCTCTTCCCCTACCGCACTGCCCCGCTCCCCCCCCCGCCTCTCTTCCTTG